GTGCCTGAGGTTTTGTAACATTCCTACTTCTGTTTCTTCCGTAAGAAGATATAACAAATGATATTCCAGGGATACAACAGAGGTGAGATTTTAGAAAAATACTAAACAAGAATACACACAAATCACACATGGCCAAAACAAAATAAAAGTCTTTAGTGGAAAACAATTTTATCCTCCTCCTGCTTATGGATCTTAAAAATACACAAAGTGTTCATTTCAAAATGGAAAATTCAGTTGTGTTAAGGCTTGATCACACAGCCACTGCCCAAGTCTTATTGCAACAGATTGTGAAATATTTCTATGCAACTTCATATCTCCAACTGTACAGGTAAAACAATACTTGAAATCAACTAGCACTTCAATCCCTGCATTTTTAATATATAAACTCAACATAGTACTGAATTATACATTTAAAATATTTACACACTTGACCAAGAGCAGTACTAGCATTTATTGCCTTAAAACTGCATGTTCACTGCATGAAGGTTCCTTATTTTGCCCAACAGGAACAAATAAAAGAGGATAATATTTTTTTCCCAATTATAAACTCTAGAATGGTTCAATGGGAGATTGAAATGTGCCGGGGAATGCTATTAGGAAAGACTTTATCAATTTCAAGTAACAAGCTGTAATAGGTTGGAAAAATCACAAATAGTATCTTTCCCTTCAGGTTGGAAGTCTTCCAAACCTTTTATAAGAATGGTGTGAAAGTACAGAAAAAGCAGGATTAGGAAAAGTGAAGAAATGGAAAAGCAGAATCTACTTCAATTCACTGAGGAGAAAGGAAAGCCAGGGATATCTCATTTCTCCATTGCTAGGGCCCCAAGAAATCTCATACTTAAAAAAAGGGTTTTGTAAGACAGCCAAGAGCTTAAGGCTCTAAAGCAACTCATGCTTCATGATTTGCTTCCTGATTAGTGCTAGAAAGCATCAATCTCATTTACTGCAAAGAGGGCACTATCTACTCATATTAAAAGCAAACTGACAGGGGGACAGAGCTGACTCTTTACATTTTAATTGTTACCATTAGGCTTTGGTTATACTGAGTGACTGGAACAGTTATGGGAGAAATGAGTGGTTCTTTGCAGAAAAATGTAAAAAAACGAACCAAACTGAACAAAAAAACCTACCACCACAAGTGGCACTTGTCACAAGTAGAGGCACCAAAGCCTGAAGAATTAACAACTGTCCTCTCGCTATGTAGACCAGAACTGAGGGACACTGGTGGGGAATCTTATTTAAGAAGCCACCATTTCGATCAGCTGCAACTGAAATAACTACAATTTACAGCAAGCATTACTGTACTGCAGTAGACCAGTCCTTGGCAATACTGCACCACTGCTGCCTCTACTGGGCTTTATAAGTATGAAAATCTTAGTTTCGTTACAGTAAATCTTACACCTCACAAAACTAAAATTAAAATATTTAATATTTACATAGCATCTCAGATCCTCAATGCATTTTATAGGCATAAGCTAATCCTCACAACATCCCTGTGAGGTAGGTAGGTATTACCGCTATCGTAACAATGACAGTTCTAGCAACTTGCCAAAATGGCCACAGAGGATCCAGTGGAAAAACATACAAAAGTAGAGGAGCCTGGCTCCTACTCCTGCGCTTATATTCATCAAGCTACTTCCATAAAAAACACCCCTTTGTACGTATTTAACCAAAACTGAAATTACTTGAAGTGTTTTACAGGAAAAATGCTGCTAATTGTATTTTCTACAGATCACAAATTAGAATTTGCTTTACCTTTTAAAGAATTAGATTTTACAGGGACAATGGACTGCTCTGAGCAAGCTTATTTTCTAGAACTACATGGCTTAGATATAAAGGGATTAACCCAAGTAAACACTGGGGCTTTAGCACGTGCTACACACTATCGAAGAGATGACTCTGATTCAAACCCCTCTCTTTCAACTACTTGGATTTGGACACACTGAGAAAACAAGTTTCTCGTTCCTGAGGAAAACGGTGAGCCCTTTATCACTAAACAGTGAAACACAAACCTCTGGGCAATAGTTAGCAGATTCGAGCAGTAATTCAGTGAAGATACTTAAGGCATAAATGCACATGGAAGTTTTGTGTATTAGCCAACTTCTCCCTGCCCACGTGTATCTGTGCTTTCAAGAAGGCCTTGAATTTCATGACCCAACCCAATGGTTCATGCTTGCCAACAGCAAACATTACTAGGTTAACAACAGAAAATTGTTACACCAGCATCGGATGTAGCTATTACAATGGAGAAGGAGCTGGCAAAAAAAGAAGCTACTTGGTATGTAGTCTCAGAATGGAAACACTGGAGCAATAATGTGTTTTACAAAAAAAAAAAAAAAGAAAAAAAAGAAATAAATTCTAGACAAATGTTACAATTTGTAACATTTGTTACAACTGTATCATGCAGCATTTACAATTCAGTTTGAGTTGCCCTTTTTTTTTCTTTCCCTTCAAAACCAGGTGCATTTTTAGAACCATTCTTCACTTTGTACAGTGAATGGAAAAAACAATGCAGTGACGCTATAAAAATTTCAGAACACTTCCATGAAGCCATATCTCAGTGTTCACTAAAAATGGTCTATGAGTATTTCCCATGGACTTGAATGAGCTTTTGCAATTTACAGCTGGGCAGGTAGAAGTAATTTTTTTCCTTTTTTTTTTTTTTTTCCTGTAAGGGATATAAAACTCCCATAGTCCAGGTGGAAGCAGCCACCTCTCCAGCAGAAATATTAATTAATAAAATATATTCCCAGAGCCTTCTGCAACAATTTCATGGATGTCATTAAGCAGAGACATCTTAGCATTTGTCCTAGAAGAAACAAAATGGCATGGAAATATCCCTGTTGAATATATGAGAACAGAAGAAATATGAAGAAACAAGAGAAGAAGAATATTATCTAACATAACATCAAACAGGAAAATTACAAAAACAATCCTTACCAGGACAGTTTCCCTTTAACATGTAATATTAATTTTAAATGAAGGGCAAAGGAAAGTTTTAAGCAACCTTCAAAACTAGTTTTTGAAAGTCAGCATTCATACTTTAGCAAGTCTCGATAGTCAAAAGATGCCACGTGGCTCTGCTTGTTATAACACAATGGGCTTGATAAGAAAAGTAATGGGTATGCACATTCCTTTGTCCTGGATGCTACCTCAACTTGTGCTCCCATTCATCAATCACAATATGTAAGAAGATTTCAAATTTTTAAAGTTAATAAATATTTTTTAAATAGTGAGCCAGATTTAAGATTAAAAAATTGATAATGATAGAACTAGTTATAAAAGAAATAAATGGTTGAGTTTATCAGTTATGCAGTCAGATAAAAAAACAATCTGAAGGTATTTACTGTGATATCTTTGAAGACTTTGGCCTAGACATTTGACATCAAGCAAATCATGACAAACTAGCAGCAACTACTGCTCCTTATGTTCCCAGGCTTTAATGCTCTTCACCTGAAAAAACCCAAGGTTTCTGAACTGCTGCCCTATCCAATGTACAAACTCAGAGACACTCCAGAAGCAGTTTCAAAACATAGCAGAACCCAGATTTAAAAAAAATCAGCCACCAGAAGAGTTTAAAACCAGAAGGATCTGCCAGGATCATCACCTGTTGTGCAAGTGCACAGTCAAGAAATCTTTTAAAGAAAAGCATTAGAGTTTCAAGGAAAAAGATTGAGAGCCATACCCCTGTTCTAAAACACTACACAAATCATCTTAGAAATAAAATGCTAGCAGGGAAAGTACATTATATAGCAAGTTTTATGGTCACTTTTTAATGTGTAAATCTGCCCTAGCCCAGTTTTCACATAAATTAAAAGAGAAAAGTAGAATGAGGAGATGGCATTTTTGGCCTTGTGGATCCATGCTTGAGACAGGTATGGATCTGACTTTAAAAGAAAAAAAAAAAAAGCCTTAGATCACTTATAGCACAGTATTACAGATTTATGTCTTTTAAAAAAATCTGGCTATTGTGACTAATTCTGAGATGAATAGCTGAAGAATGGCACAGAATTGCAAACATGATGCTATACACAACCAAATAAAGGTGTATACTGTACATTTTATATCAATTTTAAAAACACATGGGAAATATTCAACAGCATAATCTAGCTGAGGCCTCAAACAAAAGGGCCCACTTCTGCCTCCATGTCCTCCCACAAAATCGATTTTACTAGACATGACAAACAATTCGTGTTTGCTTCAGTTTCCTCTGACTCATGTCTGGAGACAAAGCAGGTCTTGCTTTTGTATTTGTGTGCTGCTCTCCCTTGTTGGTCCACTATATTCAGGGCACTATATTCTGCTGTCTTAATAGCTAAAGTGCTGATATAAAAAATTGAGAAAGAGCCAAGCAGCTGGGAGGGCTCTGCATAAGTGAAGCTAGATTCAGCAAACCCCAAAATCCCCCACAGCACTACACATCCCAATCAAATCTTTCTTGACTCAAGCCAAACAAATATGACCCTTGAGTAGAAGGGTTTGATGTCCCTGTTCTAGCATAATTGCTTTAGCTAATGCCCCAACTTTAAAAAGTTTGCCAGTAATTTACACCTTTTGAGTTGTTATTGCTTAAGCAAACAGTTCAGTGTAGAAATACATTGCAGTTGTGTGCAACCTGGGTATGAATCAAAAAAAGATACTGAAAGTAAAACTACACATGAACCTTGCATTAGACACTCACTCCAAAATGACACATCAACATGAAGGGCTGCAACAGGTACACAGCAGCTTAGTGCCAACATCCTAAAACACCTCTGACGAGTCAAATCTTGCCTTAAATTTCTTATCTAAAGTATATGAGTGTTTTTTCTTTTAAATTAAGGCAATGAAATGGCTACAGTTCCTAAAGTTCATTTTAGGGGAACAAAAATATACACCTTTTTTTTGAACTTTAGGCAGCAGAACATAATGTAAAAACCTGCATTGCATTAAACATGCAATGCCAGGGTGGTGTAGAAAACCAGAACTAAACAAAAGTTAAAACACCATTTGGTTTTTCTTCTCCATTGGAACACAAACTCAAACTTTAAGAGAGGAAAAATAAAGCTTAAAATCAGCTAAACTGTTTAGAGCTTTATATGTATCTGCATCACACTCTAACATGATTTTGGGTAGAAATCTGTATGTTTTAAACCAGTGAGGGTGGGGGGAAGGCACTGTATTTATTTTTCATTGTGCCCATATCTGTTTGCACATATATGGAAAACAAATTAAATTCAAATTTTCTGTTCGTTCTCTCCCACACACAAGTATGACAGATTGCAGCTAACACATAATAGCAGAAGCTGATTCAAAGTTGACCTCTCCTATTCCACTGTGTTATGTTCAAACTTCTGGGCTCTCTAGAATCTGAGACGGCTGCAAAGAACCCAGAGACAGGTACAAGATTTAGTCAGCATTCAGCATTTCTCAGTGCATTTTGCAGAAAGGGTCTACATTAGGCATAGAATTTTGTTGTTTATTTTACACAGAGAAGTCCACCAACATTTGCCATAAATTCTTCTAAACTCTTTAAGAAGGCCATCTTCTGCTTACGGTCCAGTGTAGGAGGAGTGCTGCTTGCAGTAAGCTTGTTGAAGGCATCTGCTAACCGCTGGTAAATTACTGGATCTTGTTGAGTTGATAGCAATGTTTCAACTAGCTCTGAATATTCAGCCTGTTAAATAAAAAAGAATCTTACTAACTTAAAAAAAAAAAAAAGATACAATATATACAACTTCTCTCATCAGGACAAAAATCCTGAACCAGAGCTGTGACAGAAGACAATCAGTACCTCTCCACCTGTTGCCCAGTTTCACTGACTAGTGTGCCAGAAGTGACTGTGGGCCCGCAGCTTTCACCTACCTCTAAATCAGATAAACTCCTTCAGTCAGACCAGTTCTTTTTTTAAAGCTAAAGAAGCCTTTAGAGCTTTTGAAGACACAGTTGGAAAAAGTCCTGAGCAACCAGATCTGAATTCAGTGTTGAGCCCACTTTGAGCAAGAGGTTGGATTACAGACCTCCTGAGAGACCCTTAAAACTCAAAGGATTCTATGATTTCCCAGATGCACAGTAACTAACCACCCTCTTTAACAAATGACTGCTTTTCAGGTTTTAAGTGGCTAAATGTCATACCTGATGCAAACACACTAATGTGTAGAATGCTTCACCTGCTGCCGTTGTCATTTCTGTATTGTGCTTCTGAAGTACCAGCATATCAAAGACCATCTGAAATCCCAAAACCAAAGTAGTTACAGAAGTGTAAACTTTCTATTTTTTTGCTGAACCTCATCTTCAATTCTGATAATAATAAACATGTATTTACAAGCATCCAAGGTTGGTTGTTCTGTAATTGGAAAGTCAAGTTCTTTTAGAAGTTGAGTCTTGGCTTAACAGCACAAATTCATATCTCAAAGCACTGAAACCTGTTGTCGATTTATGTGTTCTTCAGAGAAAAATAGCATCTCTTGTATTTTATTCCAAAAGCTGCAGATATGCAAGAGAAATAATGAAAAAAGCCTTTGCTCCTTCAGAATTAACCAGGAGATTTCCTCCTCAAGTTTTGGACACTCCTACAGCTCACAGAAAGCCAAACATGGAACAGATTAATAAGAATGGTATGACAATTTGAAGTGGAAATTTAGAGAAAAGGCAGAAAGCTATGTTGACTTAATAGAAAGACCAAGAAAATGATGTAAGGTGTTCCTCATTCTCTCAGCTTGTCTGATGTATGCTTTTAACAAGCAATCAATGTCTGTTTGGTAAGAAAATACGTCTTAAGGAAAACTGGAACTTTACAAAATCAGAAGACAAGCACACAAATTTCACAATTACTTTGTTCCCAGTTAGCAGGAACCTGGTTGTTACCAGGTCACTCCAAAATTCGATGAGAGAGAGTGGATGTCCTAAAAGGAAAATACTAAATATGAGACTGGATTAAGAAAACACATAATTCATTGGCTACATTGAATAAATGATAGCATTTTCTTTCTAGTTCCCAAATGTGGTCTTTTTTTCTGCCTCGTTTTAGCATTCTACCCAGCCTCCAGTTCACACAATTCTGGAAGCTTTCTATTTCACAGCTTTCACAGTAAACCTAACTGCTAAAATTGTCAACCAGGTTCATTCTAGAGCTCATGTGCAGAGAGCATGGATGAATGTCAATTGCATTCTGAGGCATGCGGGTCCTTCACTGATTGACAGTAAGTAATTTCCTCCCTCCATCCTCCTTTGTACTCCAGCCCAATGTCTCCACTCCTTCATGCTCTCTTTCTTCTCAAATTGTCAGTTTTCTAGGTAACGCATTTCTTACTGTATGCGTGATCCTGATTAACCCTGTCAGATAGTCAAGAGGCCAAACCCATTGTTTGGCCCCTTGACACTACCTATATGCAAAAATCCCCCAAAGTAACAAAAACACAGATACCTTACCTTAAGAAAGTGCCTTGTTGCTAGAAAAAGGGTTGTATCTGTTTCTTGTGCTTTTGCACACTGTTCTGCTAATGGTGTTACAGCCTCCAGGCAGAGCTGGCAAACCTCTGAACTCATTCTGATAGTGGGTGTTAAAGAGTCAAAGTCAGATTTGTGGGAAATGAAATTGTGGTTAAAATTCCCAGTTGTGTCACTATAAAATATTTTAAATGCTTGTATGTATGTTCCACAATTTTGTTTTACTTCAAAGCTGTTAATAAAATAAAAAAAAAAAAAGGGGGGGGGGGGGGGGTAGAAAACCAGCAAAAAATTCCAACTTTGTTGCCTTCTTTTATTAGCTGCATGCACTAAGGTAACATAACCCTCTCTGACATAACATTTTCAGAAAGAGTCCCTTATGGTCAAGCTCATCTGTTTCTGACACGTGCCACAGATTAGTGAAAATGGTACTCCCATGATGAGAGGGAGAGCCCATTGGCACCCTGACAGGAAATGCTCTGGAGCCAGCCCAGTAGAACAGCAGCAATGTTTTGTATTACCAGCTGAGAAACTAATTCAGGAATGGCTTTGGGATACCAGCTGAAGGCTTATGAAGTTACACACTCTGAAATGAAGTAATGGAGGAGGAATGGCTGCCAGAAAAAACTTACATGCTAAACCACTTAAAGGCTGCATTCAAGCATCACAAGTGAGAGGCAGTTCAGCTAATACTAGAATCTCAGCAAAACTCTCAATCACCAGAGACTTAAGAGTCAGTTACTGATATATAATTATAGATACAGATATTGATAGAAAAGGAAAACATGCGAAGAACACCTCCCCCCTCCCCCGATTTCAACAGGTTATTAAAAAAGCAACTCAGATTTTTAAACACTCCCAAGCTCTATAAAGGATACGATGACATCCCTAACTCCAGTGAGTACATTAGGCTCTTAAAGAGGTCCTCTGGAAGTTGTGGAATTTTCTCAGGGAATATCTCACAGATGAAAGTGATTAATTTGTAATATTGATTACACAGGGATGGAAACTGTTACAAGAAAAACATGGCAATTTTAGAATCAATCATGTAACTATATTCTGACATAATTTCCATCTGTCAGAGATGTAACTGGTCTGAAGAAAAGACAATTTTAGTAGACAACCACAGAACTATTAGAAAGGCTATAACTCTATTAGCAAACACTGTCATACAACAGAAAAAGACTGCTATAACTAAACAGTTGATGGTGGAGGTCTGGCATCTGATCTATACAAATTTATGCAGTTTTACTTCAGTCATAAGCAGGTCTAGACCTGTGGGATAAAGCCTCATGAGCATTTGGAGCACAATACGGGGGCTCTTCGGGTACATCCTTCATCTCAGTTTCACCTAAAATGAGTGCAGCTCTCACTCTCAGCAAATACTACCAGATGAGAAAGCATGTTAAGAGGGGACAACTAAGATACAATTCAGAAGTGCTCCCCTGACTCAAAGTAGAACATGAACACAGTACAACCCAATGAAACATTATCATTCCACTGTTTCACGTTTTACTGTTCTACTGACAAGCTGCTGCTGTCTATGATATGAAATTACCTGCACTGGGAGAACAATTAAAAGAGTTACTACTTGCTCCCAGATTATTTTTTTTTTAAACTAATATCATCATTTCTGCTTCTTGCCACATTTCTGACACTATCAGAAATAAGATTCCACAAGCCACATTTTAGGTTTGGCTAATTGTTGACCTGCATGGACTCACTTTTAGAAGAAAAAAGTTCTTCTTGGGCCCTTTAAATATGCTTTTTCTCAGCTTACAGTATTTCTTTTCAAATGGTATCTAGAACTATGGAACAGTTATTTACATTTTAAAAAAACTAGAAAATTCAACTTACAGAGGTGGAATGCATATAGGAAGGAATTCTGGGAATTCATAACTAAAAAGCTTTTATATTCTAGCAACTATGTGTGAAAAATATATTTACCTTCAGCAGATCCTGGGACATTAGAGGCAGAACTAGATTAACCCCATACAAGACAACATCTGCTGCTGATACAGATCTGTTTGTAGCTTGCCCAGGTTCATGTCCTCTAAATACTTCATCTGTATAAAAGACAAAAAATGTTTTATACAAAAGAAGAATTGTACATATTGAAGGAAGAATCCCATTTCTTTATTATATAGACATTTTTAAAAATAGAACTATTCCCCTCTCCCCCCAAAAAACCATGAGGCACTGTATTAAAATAGAAACTTATTGAGTGGAGGCTGCCACATCACTATATATTTATATTCATTAGTACTAAGCATTTCATTACCACATGTACCAGATGGCACACTAGAACAGAGCACTTCAGATATTCTGAGAGTCACTTCCATTACAGAACACTGCATTTGTTTCTAGTGATAGCTGCATCATGCCTGCACACATGAACAGATAATGAGCAAAATACTACTGGATTTTCATTTACATATGTGTATATATATGTATTTTATAAACACAAGGAAAAGAAATTGGGAGAGTTACTGCAGAAAATTCTGTAGTAAACATGTTGCCAAGTTTCTCCCATTACAGGCAAGACCTACATTTCCCATCAATTGTCAAGTGACCTTACTTGATCATAGAATCATAGAATAG